GGAGTGAAAAAAGATCTGAATAAAGTTTTCTTCTATTATCAAAAGTCTGTGAATATGGGTTATGTTGATGGATTATATAAAGTTGGTGAATCTTATAAGTATGGAATTGGAATCGAAAAGAATGAAAAAAAATCATTTGAATATCATTAAATGTCTGCGGATATGGGATTTTGCTGCTGGTATTATTAATGTTGGTAACTGTTATGATCATGGAAAAGGAATCGAGGAGGATAAAAACAAAGCTTTCGAATATTATAAAAAATCTGCGGAGACGGGTTTAGTGGAAGGATGGTAAATGTTATAGTAGCGGGACTGGAATTGAAAAGGACGAGAGGAAAGCTTTTGAATATTATAAGAAATCTGCGGTGATGGGTAACGAAGTGGGAATGTCAGAAGTTAGCTTTTGTTATAGGAATGGAATTGGAACAACAGTAGGTATGGACCAAGCTGATTATTGGTTTCGGATGGAAAATAGTAAATCTTATAGAATTGAGAAATCCGAGTATAATGACCTTGACATTGATAACAATGTTAAAATGTTATTGAATAACGATCAATATCATTTAGTTTGGATTCCTTACAAATTTGAAACGCGATTTTTCGATCATATACTTGACAAGATGTAATATGAATTATATTATGATTTTCAATATGTTAGCGTTCTTGATTTTCCTGTAATACTTAAAGAATTTTTAACTGATGATTATTTAAACTAGGTATTTTTATTTGATTTGATATTTATTTTGATCGTTAATTATTTTTATTAAAATTAATTTTTTTTTAAAGATAGAAACATATTGTAAAATCAGCGTTAAAAATCCTTCTTTATGAAATGTTATGGTATAACAATAAACAGTTATGGAAGATATTCACTAGTGTTAAAATACGCAAGAATGAGATCTTTACGCAGTAATCTTTTAACAATATCGCGAATGAAATGGATTAATAAATTTGTTATATAGTATAGCTTTTAATCTTAACGCGATCCATTCTCAAGGTATTGTTCATCGAAATTTGCATAGTGGCAACATATTACAAAATGTTTTGGATAGTGCGTACATTACGGATCTTGGTCTTTCGATTCAATATATAAAACAAGACGGCCAAGTTTACGGAATCTTACCTTTTGTTGCACCGGAAGTTCCAGGAGGAAAGTCATATACCATTGCGTCTGATATCTATTCTTTTGGTATCTTCATGCGGGAAATATTGTATGGAATTACTTCTACTTGTTATTTCGCGTCCACCTGTGAGCGAAAATGATTCCAATGTTATGTGGATCTGATGAAACAATGTTGGGATTAAAATCCCGAGGTTCGACCATCATCCGAAGACCTTTGTGAGATTTTCAAATCGTGGCGAGAAAATAATAAGGAATTAGACGAATTCAAACCTGTTCTTATTCAGGAATTAGACGAATTCAAGCCTGTTCTTATTCAGGAATTAAACGAATTCAAACTTGTTCTTATTTAGGAATTAAACGAATTCAAACCTGTTCTTAAACCCGCGGAAAATGATACCGATGATTGTAGAAGCACACTACTTTCTCTTGAAAAGATCGTTCCGTATTTATATTAGTTTTTTTATTAAGAAAAATAATTTTTTTATGTTTTAATGTAAAGTATAAACTAAGGTTAAAAATTTTCTTTTTAAACCTTCATCTAAGATTTAATTGTATGATATGTACTGTATGATATGTATGATAATGATTAAAATAAGAACAATTACAAAACTTTAAAAAATTTAAGTGACTCTTTATAAATAAAAACTACCAAGGGTAAATGCTATCTAAAATATTATAATTTTTTTTAAAAAAATATTAATCTTTTAAAGAATTCGGACTCATGCGAGTTCTCTTGGATAGTGTTGGCAGGCAAAACTATTTTTGGCAAATGGCGAATGACAAAACTAAACCCGGCGAAAGATGAAACTGGCGAAACTCTGGCGAAACTGCTAAATTCCGGCGAAACTCCTGGTAAAGTTGAAACCCCTGAGGAAAGTCAAAGCTCGGCGAAGATCAAATCCTCTAAGACTTTGGAAAAGACTGAGCCATTTTAGTGAATCAAAATATTTTGTGGCTATTAAGCACAGCATGTGGCTTGTACAAAAGCAATAAACAAAGCGATGCCTTTCGTTTGTAGTATTATATCAAAGAAAACTCAACTTCAGGCTTTTGAAACTTAATAAATTCAGCTTTGAAAATAAAATCTTGATTTTTTTTTATTAGCGTTTATCTATGTATTAATAGTATTAACTTTAATTAAATATTATACATATGTAAGTAGTTCGTTAACATTATTATTACTGACAATTATTTCCTGGTGCTTTAGTTTATCTAGCCCTAAATCTCAGGGCTAACTTAAGGCAATAATTGTTATGTTCCTTGTCCTCCGGTTAGATTCGAACCCGCAACCTTGCGTCTGTGGCCTGGGAGCGCTAACCACTGCGCTATCGACCCGTTGGTCGGAATAGTATTTTTGCATCAATATTAAACCGCGAAAAAATTTTTTGGACCTTTGATCTGTACCAATAATATGTCTAACTCATCTT